TTAATTAGGTATGGAATTGGAAAGTGATGATATTTCTCAACCACCAATTCAAACTCAAAGTGTTGGATCTTCTCAACCATCTACAACGTCAACTACAATAAAAAAAAAAAAAGTCCATTTTAAGGATCCTCGACTTCATTTGGATGTTAATGTTTCTCTTGGATGCATTGAGTTTCTTGAAACATATTATCATGGCGATATAGAAATGCAAAACAAGGTATTGAATGATTAATTTCCCAATTATAAGAGGAAAGATGGTGTATTTGGGAAGACACTTGCAGTCAAAGGATGTGAAACAAATAATGAGCGATATGATCCGCGTAAATGAGTTACATACTAGTTTTAAATTTTAATATTTAAAATTTTATATCTTTTGATCTTTTATACTTAATATTTTTTATACAATTTTGATGTAGCAATGTGGTGGTCAACTTATGGTGGGACAACTCCAAACTTGCAAACAATTGCGATAAAGATTCTATCTCTTACTTCAAGTTCATCAGGTTGTGAAAGGAATTGGAGTACATTTGAAGGGGTTAGTTAAATCTTTACTTAGTTATTTACTTATTTTTCATTTTTGTTTGCACTTTGCACACTTGATGGAATGATATATTTGACATTTGTTTTGCATATTTGTAGATACATACAAAAAAAAAAAAAAAGAAATAGGTTGAAATCTAATCGCCTAAACAATCTAGTCTTTGTGCAATTCAATGCAAACTTGATGAACAAAAGGAAAAAAGAGCAAAATGTTGAAACATTACTTGGTAGTGATGCAACATTCGCACAAGATTGGATTGTTGAGGATGAAGTTGAGGTTGTTGTTGAAGATGAAGTGGCTACTAATGAGGAGGGTGATGGCGCATTAAGACCACGACGGAGTTCTAGATTGAGGGAGCTTGAAGAAGAGAACTTTGAATCCGAAAGTGAAGAAGAAGAAGTGGTTGTTGAGTTTGAAGATGATGAAAATCGAGTGATAGATGGACAAGTGGAGGAACAAAACCTTAAAAGTTGAATACTTGAATTTGATATGATGTTGAACTTAATTGTCATGTACTTTGTGTCTTTGTTTGAAATTTGATGACTTGAAGTATGAATGTATGAACTATGAACTATTTGAATTTTGAAATTTGATGACTTGAAGTATGAATGTATGAACTATGAAGTATGAAAATAAAAATAATTAACTATATTATATACTTGTATAAAAATAATTAACTATATTATATAATTTACACTTTTAAGTAATTTTAACCATTTTACATAATCAGGTATTAAAATTTTACAACTTTTAGTTTTTTTTTTTAAATAAAATAAAATAAAAATCGGCGCTTAGGGGGCGCCTACCGTATTTTGCAACCTTGCTATTATTTGATGACTAAGCATCAACATCATCATATGAGTTGAAATCATATCATAATTGTTCAATTTATGTATAATTACAAACTATTGTAAAAATGTGTGCTTTTTTTTTTTTTTTAATTTCTTTATTTGTTGATTTTATAATCTTGATATGCTATTTTCCATAGTGTACCAATAGTGCAATATAACAAAAAAAAAAAAAAAATTGTCAAATAGGTCATTGAACTTTTATACTTTGTGCAATTGGACCATAAAAAAATAAATGTGCAATTGGACCATTAAAAATTCAAAAATTATACCAATAGCATTTTTTACAAGTTACTTCCAAATTTCCGTTATGACATTATATTTTACCAGAAATTTAGAAGTAACTTGTAAAGAATGTTATTTGCGCAAATTTTATTTGTTTAATAGTCTAATTACACAATTTTTTCGTTCGATGATTCAATTGTACAAACTGTAATAGTTCAATGACCTATTGACACTTTTTTATAAAAATTTATCTCATAATTTCTTTTACGAATACACACAATCTTAGTACTTCAGAGGAAAAAAAAAAACCATAATACAATATTTAAATAAAATAATAAAAAAATTTATTAACCTTTGCAAGAAAAAACATCTCCAAGTGAGCAAATCAACAAAGAAAATCATTTAATGTAACGCTAATTACAATAGAATTTACAATGAGACTTTTTTTTTTTTGTTTTTGTTTTTTTTTTTTTAAACAAAAGGACCAAAAACGGAAAAGCACTATATTCGAGGAACCATTATTTCTAAGATTGGTTCCAACAAAAACTATAAAAGTGTAAAGTATAAATTCTAAAAGTTGATGATATAAATGCTAAAAATGCAGTAATGCACACTGCAAAACATTCTGCTAAAACTACAGAACAAAAACTATAAAATGTGCACATTTTAAAATCTAGAAGTGCACAATATTATCCCTATGGCTATGTTTGGTAACATAGTTACATTATCAGTTAATTTTGAGTTATTTGACCATTATTAGTTGTTTGATTGTGTTAAACCGTCAATATAATGTTTGATTAATTAACTTTTTATAACAACTTATTGCTCTAAAACACTAAAAAAAAAAATTTTTTTTAAAAGAAAAAAAAAGTACACAAAACAAATTTTTCAATAAAATTTTTTAAAAAATTATTTTACATGTAATCCGCTATCAGCTAACAACTAATTTACAAGCATGAGACATGGTTGACACCCATTATAGTCCATATATATGGAACACTAATCATACCCATTGAGGCATTGACAATAGCGTCTTCTAAAACACGACTACATTTGTGTATTATTGAAATGGTTACCAATAATATCAAGTATCATTGGAAACCATTTTAATTAGAGTTAATTCTATTTTTGGTTCTAGATTTATAGGTGGTGATACGATCCCACATCAGTTCCACAAGAGATTGTGGAGTGGTACTTAAGTTGGGGCTAAACCTCCACTCATGAGCTAGCTTTTGTAGTGGAGTTAGGATCTTGGCTTGAGTATCGTATCAATTGGTGCTCTCGTTGAGAGGCCGGAGTGTGGTGGGAAAAGGGAACCGAGAAGTATCCAGAGTGAAGCCGTCCACTCATCCGGTGCCGCCCTAGCGGAGGGGGCGACCTAGAAAAGGGCTACCTGGTGCTTGATAAGGTCCGGAGTGAAGCCATCCAAAGGGGAAAAGGGCTACCTGGTGCCGAGAAGAGTCCGGGCCTAGAAAAGGGCTACCTGGTGCTTGATAAGGTCCGGAGTGAAGCCATCCAAAGGGGAAAAGGGCTACCTGGTGCCGAGAAGAGTCCGGAGTGTGAGCCGCCGTGGACGTCGGCTTCTCAAGGGGTGGGCAATGATACGATATTGTGGAGTGGTACTTAAGTTGGGGCTAAACCTCCACTCATGAGCTAGCTTTTGTGGTAGAGTTAGGGTCTTGGCTTGAGTATCGTATCAGGTGGCAATCCACTTTTAGTCAATTTTTTAAAAACATTATTCTTTGGTCCTAGTATTATTGTGGTATGACTATTTTTTGTCCTTTTATCAACACAACATTTTAAATTCCATTAAATACAAGGGCATTTCGGTCTTCAGTTATGAATTTTTTTTCAAAAAGATAAACATAAAATATATATATATATATAACGGGTCAATGCACTTTGTATTAAAAAGATCCAAATGTTCTTGTATTTAATGGCATTTCAACGATTTTGTTAATGAAGGACAAAAAATGATTATATCACAATAATACTATGACCAAAATAGGATGTTTTAATTAAAAAAAAAAAAAGAATACTAAAAATAAACTGTCACCATATAGGACCAAAATGAAATTAAGTCATTTTAATTAATACCAATATGCAATCATTAATTATACCTAGTATTATTGGAATGAGTTCCAATATTATAGTTACAATCTAGAATAATTTCTAATATTATCAGGTACAATCAACTATATTGTGAACCATTTCATATTGTACCAATCATTATTGTGTGGACCATATTTTGGAATCATTTTAAATTAATTATACCTGACATCATGGAAAATCATTTTAATATTAAAATGGCATTACGTTTTAGTTGACATTGCTACTGATCAACAAAATAAAATTTTCATATATGTGTGTCCATAATCATGTGAGAACCAACCTTAATCGGCAAACTGCGAACTTGTGAAGAATTGCGCCGCACTTACTAAATGATTGCACCGCACCCGAATACGATTGCACCGCAAGGTTCTTCAGGCATGTCTGGGAGCCGTATCAGTGCAATTATGTCGTAGTCGCGGTGCAATCCTTCACAATTTTGCAGTTCGTGGATTAAGGTTGGTTCTCACCTGATTATATATATAGTCGAGTTCACATGAGAAGAGAAGAGATTTTTCTATAAGAAACGAGAATAAATTTCATTCATCCATAAAAAATGACATTATATTTATACTTTAAAAAGGTGGTGATATTTTTTTAAATAAATAGAAGTTTGGATATGTGAATGTATCCCACCACTATGTGTACTTTTCCAAAATTATTTGTACTTAGACTTGTTGATTACCATATCCATTCCTATTTAAGCAAAATCAATGTGTGTTTGAACAAAAATAATGTGAGTTTAGACCTTGCATATTTAGTCTAAAATAATGCATGTAAAAAAGTATGCATATTTTTTCCAAACAATATGTGTTTAGTGTTTAAGTATCCATGCATATTTAGTTTAACTATATGATGAGGTTTTCCCCCAAAATGATGTGGTTTTTTTTTTTTCCCCCAGAAATGATGTGGGAAATCTTCTACATATTTACAAAAATGCCATTGAACTTTTATTTAAAATTTTATGTTTTTTAATAAATTTTCTCCACAATAATGTTAAGGTCTTGTAAAGACTAGCCCATTTTCAAGAATAAAAATCATTAACAAACAACCAAATAGACCTATTCTTGAAAATGTCATTCTATTTTAAGCCTATTTTATGGTCTAACACTTGATGGTGGTTATCACATTATTATCCATATTTCAGTTAATAATTCTTGAAAATTTAATATAAAAAAAGAAGGTGAAATGTCTTTTTTCATGTGGCAAACCATATAAATCAAAGTAAACAAATTTGACTCTAGTTAATTGAAAGTATTGTTAAAAAAAAAAAAAAAAAAAAACAATGCTTAAAGAGATACATTAGTGTGCATTCATCAACACCACACAATAGTAGCCAAGTAAGGTATTAAAAAGGTACAGTGTATAGTTTGGGGTGTCCCCCCTCCATGAACTTCAAAAAAAAAAGTACAGTGTATATATATATATTTTTGCTTGTGATTATTGCAGAAATTCAAAAATCAGAAAATAGAAGAACCAGGATTCCTGGTCCAAGAAGCTCAAAAGTGAATCTCTTTTGGACCACAAAGAACTTATGTGTGATGCAGTGAGAATTTTGCATAATGTGAAAATGCTATACTATGATGACTATATAATTAATCATTTCAGCAATTTTAGAATATCGGACAACTTGCCGGTGTAATAATCTGGTTTAATGTCATTTGCAGAGTCTATCAGTGTCGACAGATTTGTTACACCTGCAATAATCACCAACACTGATATCAACACGAGCCAAATGTTCAATCCATCTCTTAAGGTAAATCGAATTCTATCCCGATAAATGACATAGTCTCAGAGATCGACAAGGATAAGAGTCTGGAACCTGAAAGAACAAGGAGAGTCTGGCAGCCAGAATTCTTTCCAAATAAGATATCTGTGTCCAATCTGTCACCCACCATACACATCCTCGAGGTAGCAATATTGAATCTGCAAAACAATGATTGCAGAGTTAAGAACTTCAAGAACAATGCCTGTTATGTCAATGAGCCATCGCAAGATTTTGCTTACTTCTGTAGTAAAAAATCCATCATGAAGGTTGATGGTTTCCCAACTACAACAGGCTCTTTTTGAGTTGATCCACACATTGCAGCAACCATACATCCAGCACCTAAAACCATAAAAGAATATTACGAATTCTTGAACATCTCCTGTATAGCTGTTGTCAGAAATGGCTAAGATCTAGCATTTACCCGGCCACTCTTGTTGATCGGTTAAGTGCCCCACTGCATCACGATTGGTAGCAATAAATAGGCATCCGGGGTTCTCACGTACACAAAGCGTTCCATACCTGTAGCATTCCATTCATAATGCAAAATAAAAATTAAAACTAGTGTACTATCTTTTCATTTCTCTTAAATATCATTTTTAACAGATCAATATTTAATATTTCAATCCCATGAGTAGGTGAAATTTACTTGGCTGGATACTAATGTATGGTATCCCCTACATATATTCATCATTAATGATTTTTTTTTTTTTCATCTCCACGGATACCAGAACGTTAGAAACAGTCAGTAGTAGTAAATCAAGAGAAAATATAAGGCTTTTTTAGGAAATTTAAAGAGTTAAGCATAACTATGGAATAGAGAGAAATAAAGTGGGCGTGGAAAGTATATGCTTTACTGCAGCTTGTAGTAATTGATGTATTGATCAAGTCCAACAATGACAGCTCCAACCTGGGTTTAAAAGTACAGCTATTCAATAGAAACAATAAGAAAAAGAATTTCTTTCAAAAGAACTTTGTTTATAAATGAGAGCAGTTTCAAACATTACATTCTTGTCATGCTCAAAAACGAATCCTGATTTCAGTTCCAAAGTCTTCTTTCCGTCTTCCTGCAAAGTTGGTCTATCATCAGCTAATAGATATACAAATTAATAGTATAGTATCAAAATCATGATGTTAAAAGAACAAAAAAGTTATTATTATATAAACTTTGTTTAATGAAGGAAAAGGAAGTTCATAACAACTTTTACACTTGGAGCTTGTGGCCAATTTTATGTAACCATATTTAAGCAGTGGGCCGGACAGAGGAAAAAATTGCAATAGCCAAACTAAAAAAGGAAGAGATCATATGTTGCTGATTTGAAAAAAAAAAAAAAAAAACCATATGATCAAGGAATATATAAGCAGTGTTTTTGATAACTGACAGAGTATTGTCAAATAAGGTCCAAGTCTGGAAGCACACGGAAAAGAAGGAAACCAACCGGACCGCCAATCCCTGTAAAGCCAGCAAGCTCAAGCTCCTCCAATATGCCTTCCTCGCCTATAACATAAACCTGAAAATATCAATTTGATATCTACCGTTACATCATTAAGTTTTAGATTATTAGTTAATTTCAATCATATCAGTAGGTATAAGAAAGTTAAAACATAATGCACTTTTGGAGAATGCATATTGACATGTCCAATATAACTATTGCAAACCTTTATAGAAATAGATGCACAATGAAACCAAATTAGTATATGAATAAATGAACTAGTAAAGAGTTATAAGTTACCCACAGTTTACTATATTTAGCATGGACACACAAGCAGATTTAAAATGAAATGGAAGTAAATCCACAAAGATCATTTGTGCCAAGAAATTTAAAACACCTCAGTACCTGCTTTCATATATTCAAACGTTTCAAATTACTTTGTAAACTGTAAAACCTCAAATTAATGTCAATAGTAGCAAAAGAATAAGAAGAGAAATTATCCAATGAATATGTGTGTTCTTTGTTTAATGTGAGTGGATATTTGGACATCAAAATCATTATCTCTCACATCTAATAAGCAAGAGTTGGAGAATCCATAAATCGAATGATAAAAAAACAACTCTAAATATACTTTAATAGCTATTTTCACTTCTTTATTCCAGAGTGGATTTTAACTATAAGCAAGAATTCTATTTATTACGAAAGATTTCCAAAAATCTTGTAAACAAGTTTAATACAAACCAGAAAATCTGTGCCAAATCTTTACTTCTACAGTTCTACACAGAAAACAGCTGCCCTTAAATATGGAATCATCAGCTTGCCTAAACTAACTACCATCCCTGCACAGAGGAATGCTTACCTTCTTGTCAGTGGGAAAGTTGCGAACCTTCAAATACATTGCAGCAGCAAACGATGACGAGAATATCTCATCCTGCAGAGGCAGTGAGAGACTATTTCAGAAAGAAGGGCTAATGAAATGTACTCTTTCCACTCTTATTAGCAGCAGACTATGGCAGTAGCAATGGTCAGCCAAACAAACCTCGGAAACAGGAATTCCAAGGGAGTGAAACTTCTTGGCATACTGTTTTCTTGATTTTGTCGAATTATTCGTCACAAAAACAAGCTTCTTCCCCTAAAAATATCGCATCAACACGCCTATCAATGTGCATATATATTATATAGATATAACTTGCAGAGAAATAGAAAGAATCTCTTGTGAAGTATCCAAAAAAATCAAAACGAAGAAGAATGAAATGGAATTGAAGTACCATGCGACGAAGCATATCGAGTGCCTCAGGGATTCCATCTATCAATTTATCGCCTTTCCAAATCACGCCTTAAATTTTATTTTATTTTTTTGAAAAAATCAGACTAAAAACAATTGTATGCTGAATATACAAATATACAAATATACTAAACGAGTTTTCGACTACATATTGATATGCCAGTCAGATTCCATGGCAATGAGTGCAGTAAAACTCATACCGTCGCAATCAAAGAGAAACGCATCGACGGAATCGACAAGCTCTTTGACATTAAGGGAGGAGAGACACTCGGAGCGAAAGGAAGACTGTTTCATGGGCGAATTCAAAAGCTGGCCGTTCATGGTGGTCTCTTCGCCGGCGATCGAAGAAGGAGAATTTCAGTGGGCTTTTTGACAAAAAAAGGAAGAGCGAATTCGCATTTTGCCACTTCTTTGTGGCATATGCTCAGTTCGAACCTTTGACCATATAATTTTCATGGAAAATAATTGGTGTACTCCCATTCCAAACTCCAAACTTGTATTCCTTCACACATGTTCTTGACATAGATAATTTTCTGTGGACCCACATGATGAAAATAACCAATCTTGATTTGCCACCTCAAGGAGTATAAATGAAGGAGTAGAATTTTGAAAGTGTATGTAGTAGAACTCAATTTTCAATTCCAAATTACTACTCAAGTACTCAATGTTCCATTTTATCGGTCTTACTTATTATTTATGGAGTAAATATCCAAAATGGTCCCTCGACTATAGCTAAATTCACAAATTGATCCTCGACTTTCAATTTCAACCAATTAAGTCCTTAACTTTGCAATTTTAACACGATTTGGTCCTCCGTCTATTTGACCGTTTGTCGACCGTGATCTTTGAGGATATATATGTAATTTCACGATTCTGCATCATTCGCTGCGATTTTACATCATCGCTGGCGGCTGCGCCGTCATCGACGATCTCCAGAAGAACCTGCAGCTCTCGTCGGAGCACATGGAGGCCTCTAGGATGACGTTGCACCGTTTCGGAAACACGTCGTCTTCTTCACTCTGGTACGAACTCAACTACATTGAATCCAAAGGGAGGATGAAGAAAGGCGACTGAATTTGGTAGATTGCTTTCCGACAGTGGATTCAAATGTAACAGTGCGGTCTGAAAATGCAACCGGAATTTTAAAAAATCGACGATGGACCATGAAGTTACATATATATCCTAAAAAATCACAGTGTGGTAGAAATTTTATTATTTGTTGATAAAGAATCTATTGATTGAGTTTAATATTAGAAGATAAGCTAAAGTGTCATCCCGCACCCTGAACCATTTTCAATTATTCATGCCCCACCATGATCTTTAATAAGTGATATTTAGATCCATAAACCATTAATTTTTGTTCGCATAGAACTTTTTGTAGGTTTTCTACAGGTTACCGGTCATCTCAGACATGAAATTTTTTATTTATTTTTTATTTTTTATTTTTTTCCACCAGGATAGCAGCAGAGACGCAACACAGCTGCCAGCTATCTTCACCCACTAACGAAATCACCATCGTCTTCTTTACCTCACGTCGGTAGCAAACCAATAACAAAAAAACCCAGTTTTATTTTTTTTTTCTTTCTTCCGAACGCAACACTCACCCTCCACCTTCATTTTTGTCGTTCTCTTTTTGCATGGAACTAATAGAGAAGAGAGAGAGAGCTTTGATGAAGATGATGTTGATGGCGACAAAGCTATGACATGGAAGAGGATGGTAGAGCTTGATGACAATGATGATGGAGGTTTGATGTTGGGGACATTGATGATGAAACTGGAATCAGCGATCATTTAGACTTATGACTCTCTGTTTTTTGCTTCCATTTCCTGCAAATTTGTATCAATTGCGAGGGGGAAGTCTAGCTTGTGCATTCGGCACGGTGGCGGCAAGAGGTGCAAGATGGAGAATTGCACCAAGAGTGCTGAAGGAGTCTCTGGACTCTGCATCTCACATGGTGGTGGCCGTCATTCTGTATCCTTGAGTCTAACACCTTCTTTCATTTTGTGAGTTCATTAATTCACAATAAACATCTGATGCAAATTAGTCTCAAAATGTTGAATTCAAGATAAATATAATAGCCAAGGTTTGATGAAAGTGATCATTTAAACTTGTTAATTTCATCTTTTGAACACTGAATTTAGTTTCTTCTGTTTGCCATTTTTTCTTTTTTGGCAATGGTAGCAAGATACTGTTTTCCATCAGATCCTTGGTTTCATATTCCTTGTCGTATGTGTGTCCAAGCTAGTTATAGTTTTTCAAAAATCAGTGAGAGAAATTAGTGCGGTGCTGATGCTTTGAAGTTCAAATCTAAGCCATAGCTATGGTGATGACTGCATGCATAAATCAACCGGAATACCGCTCCGTCGCTTCGCCATTGGCTGTCAATGGTGTGCCGGTGACAATGATTCGACGCGTGGACTGCTTCCTTCTCTCGGGCTGTGGTTGCTTCTCGGTCAGGCCGTGGTAACTCCCATGGCCAACAGTCCACGCGTTGCAGCAGGGGGCAACATCACAAGGAGAGGACAGACTGGTTGACGTAATCTTCTTTGTAATTGGAGTAGTTTTTTTTTTTTTTTAATTAATTAAAAATGCTTAATGGACAGAGAAATAAGGCCACGTCAGCTTATTACCCTGCCATGTTATTAGGATTATCGGAAAACCTATAAAAAGTTCTTGGCGAAAAAAAATAATGATTTACGGATCTAAATATCACTTATTAAAGATCATGGTGCGACATGAATAATCAGGAATGGTTCATGGTGGGGGATGACACTTTAGCTTAGAAGATATTCAATTTCCAAATGGTAATTTTGCCTTTATACGTGGCAAGGTTTCTAAATGTTGATGATAAAATAAATTATCTATAACACTTAACATTTTAATTAGTTAGTTAATGTGGAACATATCTTCAAAATGGTAAAATTCATGGGTTTGAATACCATACGTCCACACACTACACATGAGGATGCTTGATCAATTCTCATACTTGTCAAATATAAAGGTCCTGTTTGGTAAATGAATTTTAATTGATAGTTGTTGGTTGATTGGGTTAGAGGAATGAAATGTTATGCTGTGAGCATGTGGTCACCTTGCATGGTGCACACGAATTTATATCCATGATTTCTATACTGTAGATCCATAATTTATAGACTCTCGGTGAACTAAAATTTATACTTTAGATTCATAATTTCTAAAACTGTACGATCCATAATTTAAATACAGTAGATCCATAATTTCTATACAGTACATCTATAATTTCTATACTGCATTGATTTGTGAAAACATGTTTCAATAATTGGAATCTATTGAACACTCATATCCGATTAATCGAAAAAAACTTCGGTTTGATTAATTGTTAAAACTTTAAAAACTTTGATTAAAACGGTTCGGTTAATTGATTGCACACTCATATTCGGAATTTCCATTGGATTTTTTAATGCAACTCCTTCTCAATGTGCATAAAAACCGATTTTTATTTTTAATTTTTTTTTTGAAAAAAATAAAAACATGCAATCTCAATATCCAAAGTGAAGAATCAATCCCTTGACATTTTGTTAAGAATGGATGAGTTCTTTCCACTCAACCACATTTCCAGGTTAAGACCCGTATGTTCGTTTCGCCACTGAACAATCACTACAAGCACTGCAGTCTGTTCCCCAGACATAATTGCCCAAGATGTTTGAGTTTAACCAATGTGGAAACACAGCTTAGCTTGGCAGTCAGTTCACCCATTCCCCGGCCTTGGGAACATTGAGCGCTTCCATATATAATTCATGCCCTCTGGGACATGATCAACCTCCTCTAGAACACCATATATAGTAGATATACACCTTTGAGTTGCAGTAAAACCGTGTCACCATATATCTATCTATCTTTCCACATTAATTAGTAATCACTCTTTCATGCTTTAACCAATTAACCAACCAAAGAAAGGTATGAATCCAATTTGGTACTCTCAATTTCAAGTTTCAACAGCATCTGTGAAAACATATGGACCCAACTTGTGAATTGAGGACACATGCATTTTGGTAGTAACTTCATCCTAGCTACCTAGTTCCAGCCTTGCCAAACGTTGGCCGGCCATACGTTTTGCAAGGCCTAAACCACCACCATATTCATGTCCTGGCCGGCCATCGTGCAGTCAAGAATTGTCGAGCATGAGTCAAAGGGCGGGATCCGTGATAGTTGTGCAAGCTAAGGCTTTCTGATGAACATTAGCAGGGACAGAACAGAACTGTGACTTGTGAAGATTAATGCTGCGTTGACCCAAGCACCTTTTAGATCCTCAAGCATCCCCTTAATGACACCAATTTGATCAATAGAAGCCTCTGATCTGCAAATAATCAAAGAAAAGGTGTGAAAGGATAGGCCCATTCTGGGAGTCCAATCTGTCACCAACCATACACATTCTTCAGGTACTAATAGTGGATCTGAAAAATTAAACAATGATAGCAGGTCGAGTTAAGAACGTTAACTTCAAAAACACAATGCCAAAATCAACCAAAGAGACAATAATTAGGGAAGCAATATATATAATGTCTGTTAGATGATGAATTGTATAGCTGAAGTTAAAACACAATATAATGCAGTTTTGGAGATCGAATGTGTATTGGCATGTCCAGTATAAGTAGTGTATAACTATTGCAAACTTTTATACAAATAGATGCACAATCAAATCAAATTAGTTTATGGATAAATGAACTAGTAAAGAGTTATAACTTATTCATGGCTTTCTATATATAGCATGGACACACAACAACCAGATTTAAAGTGAAATGGAAGTAAATCCACAAAGATCATTTGTGCCAAGAAATTTAAAACACCTATTGATATCTGCTTTCATATATTCAAACATTTTCAAATTACTTCGTAAACTGTGAAACCTTAAATTTCATTTCACATAGGAATAGAATTATAAGAAGAGAAATGAATCAATGAATATGTGTGTTCTTTGTTTAATGTGAGTGAATATTAGGACATTAAAAATCATAATCTTTCACATATAATACGATCAAGTTGGAGAATCCATAAATAGAATGATAAAAAAAAAAAAAAAAACAACTCTAAAATATACTTTAATAGCTATTTCAAAGGGGATCTAGCTAACAATTGTATGCAGCAGATTATTCTTGAGGATAGCCAATACTGCAAGTGATCCTTCAAGTGACAACATAGGGGGACTATATAGTATCTGGAAAGGAGAATATTGCAGAAATTAAAAAAATTAAATAACTTATGTTCTGGAAAGGAGCAAATGAGAAAAACAGGAATTAAAATTTTTTTATTTATTAACACAATCAAAATTGAATTCGAGGGTCAAATAAGCTTTGTACAAGTAAGATTCATGAAGTTTCTATACAAATAAGCCTATTTCTTTCTCCTAAAACTTTCCCATGAAACAGAACACATCATTACTGTCCGACAGTAGCAACATCGCTTTCCGTCCTTGAAAAGAGAAGCTGTCTGGAACAAGACCTAGGAACCTTAGTCGAAAACAGCCCAACATTGGAACTCCATCCTCCAATCACTTGATGATCCTTCTCCAACTTTTGCCCCAACAGTCGATTGAATTCGTTGGCAACAAATGGATGATTGAGTAAAACAGCAGCAGTTGATCGCGTAGTGGGATTTCTTTCAAAACACCTCTCCAGAAAATCCTTGCAGCTATTCGATATACCCTCCGGGATTTCGGGTTTCTTGAACGCTATGTTTAGAGTCGCATCCCTGCTATCACGGAACCTCCATGGTGGATTTCCAGTGAGCATCTCCACCACCATGCACCATATATCCTTGGGCATCTCGTGCATCCCCGAAACCAATGACTCCGGCGAGGTATACAGCAATGATCCCCGGTGACAACCCCCAAAAATGTTAACTCCGGCCACCTTACTCAGTCCAAAATCTGCGATCTTCAGACGATTCATCCCGAACCCACACGGAAAGACAAGGACATTCGCAGGTTTCAAATCACAGTGAACCAACCCTCGCCTATGAACGTCCAGTATCCCCATCAAAAGCTGATAAGCATAGAAAGATACCTCGAATTCTAGGAGTCTTCCAGTGCGAGACTTGATCAGGTTCTCCAGTGACCCACCCGGAGCATACTCCAGTAAAAGGTTGTAGACAGCCCTTCCGTGTTCTACGCTGGTGTCTTCTCCGAAACACTGGACGATATAGGGGCATCCTCGGAGTGCATTCAAGAGTCGCCCTTCAACCCTAAGTGAGCTTGAAGACTCTAGCTTTGAAGACTTCACGGCGAACAGGGGCGAATCAGTTGATGAAGATGAAGAAAGCAGTCGGCCAAGAAACACAGTGCCGTAGGATCCTGAGCCAAGAGTTTGAAATTTTTGACAAGCCATATGAAACAGAGTGCGATGTGATGAAAAGAGTGTTTTACGAAAGTGTTAATTGCTGAGATGGTCCTCCTATCCTAGGGAAGTAAGTATTATATAGGTAAGACAGATTAGATTTGGAAAGTAAAATTAGGAAACTTGGAGAGTAAGATTAGGAAACTAGGCGAGGGTTGGTCTGGCTTTCAAATAAAAGATAAGAGGTAAGAGAAGATTTTAAAAGGCTTTCAAATAAAAGAAAATAGGCTCAAGTGTCAAATCGCACCATGAACCAATTGCGATATGTCATGCCGCACCCTGAACTTACATAAGTGATTATTCGATTCACAAACTAAAAATTTTTGTCCACCTAGCTTTTTTAGCAGGTTGCCTCCAAGTAACAAGTTATAACTTGATGATGTAGAGGTTTTTTTTTTTTCCTTTTTTTCTTTCTTGCTGATGTGGAGGTATTTAGTTGGCAGCCCTTTCACCATTTATATTAAATAATATAAAGTAACCTCTGTTATACTCTTCCATGGCCGATCTTCGTCACAATGCTATAATCTCTCGAAGTCGGCGATCAAGAAACTCCAGGCCAGCGATGATCTTTCGCGACTTTCCAGAACAATCTCCCACTCCTTTTGTTGCTCCACCTATACCTTGAGGAAGAAGACCTCCTCTTCTTTGACTTGACATGATCTTCTGATGATTCACTGGCTTCAGAAGACTCTGTTTCACTCTCATCACTCATCATTCTACTTCTACTTTTCTTCTTCAGACTACTCCTTTGGTGTCGCCTTCTCTTCAATCTCCTCCTCCTCCTCCTAGCTTCAGCTTCTGAATCATCACTTGAATCAGCGGATTCACTCTCACTTTCAGACACTGATCTTGATCTCTTGCTTCTACGTCTAGAACCAGATTTCCTGCTCTTCTTAGACTTCCTGTATCGTGAACCATCCGATTCAGATTCAAAAACATATTCACTCTCCGATGAATCATCACTCGACCTCTTAGACTCCAACTTCGAGCTTTCCTTTTTCTCATTCTCTTTTTCCTTCAAATCGTGGTTCTGCCTTTGGTCAATAAAGTCTTGATCAACGTCCTCTGGCTCGTTCTCACCCCTAGGTGGGCTATGAGAGGAAGGCTCATACCTTGAGTATCCTCTGGCTCGTTCTCACCCCTAGGTGGGCTATGAGAGGAAGGCTCATACCTTGAGTAGTCTGGACTATGGCTACGACTCCGGCTTCGGCTAGGGTTACGGCTGCGATTCCGATAGCGACGGCGATAAGAATCGGATTCCGGAGAGTAACGGCCACGGTCATGGTCGCGGCCGCTATCTCTGTGGCTCCGGCGCCGTTCTTTTGGGATTTCAATCGCAGAGGTTAGTCGACCCATTCCACGATAGGCTTTGACGAGGAAGGGGAAAATTGCTGCTGTGGTTTTGGAGATAAAAGCTTGGACGACTGTCTTGAAAAACTAAACTTCATAATCTGAGTAAGCTTATTTGACCAAGCAAAGACTGACTTAAAACAAAAAAAATTCCACATCAGCACATTACCTGTGCCATGTCATCAAGGCAACCGGGAAACCTGTAAAAAAATCTAGGCGGACAATTTTTTTTGATTTGTGAATCGAATAATCACTTATGTAAGTTCAGGGTGCAGCATGACATATCGCAATTGGTTCATGGTGCTATTTGGCACTTCACCCAAGAAAATAGCATATAAGTACAACGATGTAAACTCACTTATTAACTGAATGCATTGAATTTGATGTTAAAAACTTGTTATTTAATTTATAAAATTAATTGAATTTTTAACACTAAAAATAATCTTAAATACGTTCTTTAATTTTTTGTATAAAAATGATATACATTTTAAGTTTTGATTTTAGTAACAATTTGTATCAAAATAAGTCTGGTAAGCATAAAATTTAAATTAAATATATAATATAATAAATAGATAAAGAGAGTTTTATAATGGTTCAAAAGTGATGCAACACCTCTAATCTAGTATTCTTCTTTAAGTGGTATGTGAAATGTACAGCGAAAAGTGACAAATATTTATGATGGAATATATTGGATTGGGCTTTGGTCCATGCACTCATGGGGGCTGCACCACGTAGGTGTGCGTGGGGTGGCGGCGGTTACCTGCATGCATGGGTGCATTCAAGGGGGCAACTTCTTGCGTGTGTGCGGGTGGCAGCAGACACTGCGTGCGGAGCCTACAGGACATGCACGGGCGTGCACGAGGTGGTCGTGCTCGTTGGTGCATGGGGTGGCCCTCAGTGATAGTACGCTATTTTCTCTCGTTACGTGATTGTACATCCAGTTTATGATGGACCCGATCCCATTAAAACCATCAATTTATAAGTGCAAAGAATGGAGCTGAGGAATTCTAGAAGTTAGATTACCTGTCAGTGAACCATGATCAGTATGCCAACCGCACCATGATGACATGGATTCATCAGCTTGGTAGCTGGCTAGTTGCTAAAGCAAAATAATAATAAATTAATAATAATAATAATAATAATCCATAACAATTAAAATAAATAAATAAATAATTAATTAATTAATATAGAGATCTCATATCCATGTTCTTCCTTCTAAAACGGTGAAAATACAAAACTAAAATTATATTTTGAAGAGATTTAGAGGACCAACAAAAAAAGGAAATCTAATAGAATTCATAAATGTTACAAGAACAATATAAAATCACAAATCAATCATACAGTCACAAATATTTTCAAAGGCCATTATCTCAACATCCAAAAAATTCTAGTGAATGACTAAATTCCATATTGAGATATGACATTTTATAATATTCACAAACGGGTGACGATACGATAAAGAAAAAAGATGACGACTTTAAAAACTTTGGACAAAGAGTTTGTCTTATATGTGTATGTTATAGTAGTTGATAACTAGCACTGAATTGTGAATACAAATTAATCGAAACAAAAGAAACTGGTGGAAAAAAAAAAAAGTGTTTTCAATAAAAGCTTCAAGCCAACAGTCAACTGAATTAACCATTTTGGGAAAATAGAAAAGCCCAATTAAGTTGTCAAATAGCTTTGGTCATTGTTCTGAGTCTCTGTTTAGTCTTCTGCCAAGTGCCATTTAACATAAACTGAAAACATAACAGCATAACTGGTACAGAAGAGAATATAAGATTACCTTTGCTGGGCAGGGAAATAGTAAAGCAGTCGGCCTTTATGACATGACATCTAGAACGATGAAGTATCTGTTCAAGGCCATCAGTTTCATTTGTTTTCATCCTGCACCAATCAAGTAAAGGGAACTCAAAAATCTGTGTTAGAAGAAATAAAATTTTAACTCAATGCCCTCCTGCATTAATATGTCACCATGCCTAAGTTAATTTACTTATCATTGTACAGAAAGTGAAACATACTGGCAAATACAAAACTAACAAATACTTCATGTCTTCATATGTGTCAACTAATCACCAGCTTTACCCAAATAACTTTCCAAATAAAAGAATGAAAAAAGAATAAATTTTCCTTAAATTTAGATATTTAGTATTATCAAAACTGTTTAAGATTCATGGACAAAAAAACCTAATTGCAGAACCAACAATTGGCTAAACATTGATGTCAAATTAACCTCTACAGTACAAGGATTGATTAAAACAGGATCATATGATGCCTATGAAAATATAGACTATTTAGGTGTTGCTGTTCTATCAACAACATTGAATGGGGTAGAGATAACATCTGTAATCAAGTATCAAGCAAATTTGTATTTGAAATAGACCAAAAAAGTGCAATGCAAATAAGTAAATGTTGAATTTATAGATAGATGAATAGATAAAATATACTCATCTCAAGTTCTGGCAGAGCGCTATGGGGCCATATATTTCGTCCGCAATATGATGAACATCTACAAGGACAGAGAAGACATAATCTTTACAAGGATAGAAAAGAACATAATCTTTAAGCAATATCAAATATATAACTGCAGAAACTCAAAGGTGACATGCAAAATTTTTACAGATTTGATACATGGAAATTAATCAGAGGTATGACTAGATCCTTTCAGTGTATCTGTGTAATAAACATCAAGTAGCAGTGAGAAAGTCCAAGGAAACATGAAATATATGTAAAGTTTCAGAAAACAGCACAGAGAGCAGGTTAAAGTGTTAAACATAACATGTGATGCATATAAATTTATAGAAAACATCCATAGATAATTAGATGGTGCATATGCATGCCATGTGTGTATCACACACTAATGAAGATTATGAGTAAAAGTAAAATAATTACTGCTTCAAAGCCCCTTTTTTATATATTAAAAAAAGTAGCAATATGTCCACAGGCCGAAAAATTTATCACAATCCATTTAACTTAATATTTCATTATAAGAAAAAGGGATGAAATGACCTCTATTGGAGGTTCTTTTATTTCATTTGTTAGTCACCAATGTGTTGTAAATTGTAATGATCACATAATAACTTTGACATGTAAAACTTCTCAAGTGAATTCTATGATTTTCTCTTTCTCAACCATTACAAGAACAGTCAATTCTACCTGGCTTTCCAGATTCAAGCTTCTCTTTTCCATGACTCCATCCAAAGTTATACCTGGCATAAGTCCCAAGGCCATATCAAATCTAAGATTAAATGGTGAATAAAGGCAAATAAAATCCCCAAGCACAAACTTGCATATGGAGTTCAATACAGACAGCATGAGGATGGCAGCCATTAGAGATGGAACAAACAACCAAATATTAGAGAATAGCAATGCATTCATTCATTTAAGGATTGATCATGGGATAAGTTTAGTTACCTTCTATGAGGATCTTCCAGCTCCTGTTTCACACTTTCTGGCAGGTTGGCTAATCTGATAAGAAAAAATTCTTTATAATGTTAGATCCAAATAAAACATCACATATATCTATGGTGCAGAACTGCAGTCAAGAATATATTCTTACCTAGGTGAAAGAAGAAGTAGGTTTCTACGCAACAAAGTATACTCAGGAACCTACAAAAACTAAAAGGATGAGAAAGCAAAACACATATAACAAGCTGACATCATACTGATAATGCAGCTTCAATAATCTGACAGCTAGCCAAATTACAATTACAACTTTCTATCTAAAAGATTAACAGATGTATTGTGTAAATATCATTTACCCTAAAACATCTGAAATTGACAGAATTCCAAGGCTGTTCGGCCCAAAGCCCTCTTCAATTTTCGCCCGATAAGTCAGCATTGATTCAATCAAATTCATCAGAAATGAAATCATCAGTAAACCTGCACAAGTTGGCACCAGAATAACGTAATGTATATCCGCACGCATACGCTCTACCGAATTTAAACATCGAAACGTGAACGCAACAGGATTTCAGAAACCGCACGCTTCTTTTGAGAGCCGTGCAGCTCTTCAATAATCTGACTTCTCGGTGATGACACCAAACCGAGAAAACTCACCGTGTGCGACGGAACTTGGGAGGAGCACGACGCCATTGCTGCAAAAGCTCGGCGAGTAATTCTGCGGTACGGCGGCAAATACTGAGAAAATTGCGCGGGAAAACTGGTATGCGGGAATTTGGATAGCGAAGGTGGCGTTGAAGGACAGAGAAGATAATACTTCATTCATCCTGATACTGTCCTCGTTTCAAATGATTCTTCGAATCAATTTGTGTAAACGCAGAGAAAAGAAGAAAATTAGAGAAATGAGAATTTCGAACTTCGAATCAATCTTGTTTTTTGGCGTCCTTGATGAATTTATTTATGCTTTGGTTGACTGTGACTTGCGAAAGTCACTGTCGTGGATGCTAAAAAAATTAAAGTGAATTGAAATATTGAATAAGTTATTATATATACCACTCACAAATTTAACATTTTTTACGTTATAAATTTTAATAGGTTAATGTTAGGCGTTGACTGAGTGGGTCAAGTTCAGTCCCGACTCAATTGAAGTTGTGACTTAGAAGGGATGTGGTTAAACAACTCCATTATAGCACCGTGACTTACAATGGAGTGATATTGTTAAATGGTTAATGTGGCTTATCATAAAAGAATGTGATTAAATGGTTAATATGATTTACTAGAGAGATGTGACAACCACTTTTGATTTACAACAGTTACAGAATTGAGATCCATCAGTTAAAGATTTAATTTTTTTGAGTTAATTCCAGCAATAGTCCTCCGACTATTGCGATTTTCCAAAATTGATCCTTGACTTTTAATTTGGACGAAAAAGACACTTGACTTTCACATTTGTTCCAATATTAGTCCTTCCGTTATTCATCCGTTTGTTAGGCGTTAAGTTAGGGGCTAAAATGGTCTTTTTAAACTTGTTTTCTTCTTCCTCGTGACATGAGAGGACCAAAGCCAAAACTCCATTGTTTCTCACCTAGCTTCTTCTTCATTGGCGGAATTTTCCTTCAGATATTTAGATACAGTTGGCCAGCGATGGCAACTTGACCTCTTCGATGGGTATCCCTCTTCCGCGACACTGTCTTCTACATCCTCATTGAACTTCCCCTGCAACAGAGGGGTGTGCGGCCTGCTCCTCCTCCCAGCAAAACCTCTGCAAGTATCCTTCCGCAACCGCACTCCCACACTGGAGCTCCTGTTTCTCCGGCGAGGCGTCCTGCGAGGGCTGGGTTGCCTCTGTAGAAGATCTGATGATGGCGATGTGTTCACTGCCTTGGAAGACGTGAGTGTCGGGAACTCAGTCCTACCGCCTGTGATCTCCATTGCTTTTGCCCATATTCATCCATCAACCGCATCTACCTCCGCCTACTCTGAGAAGCCAGTAACTGTAGTAAAGCTTCACTCTTTAACGTGATCTCTCTCTCTCTCTCTCTCTCTCTCTCTCTCTCTCTCTCTCTCTCTCTCTCTCTCTCATTCATAGTACACCATTGTTACAGTGTAGATTCTTACAGTCAACGTCTATGCTTATAGTAAAACTCGGTATTGCATAGTGATCGTAATTCACTCTGCTTGTAGAAATTTAGTGACGAAAACAAGAATCCAAAAAAGATGGTGGCGATGAATAGTGGGCGTAATTCACTCTGCTTGTAGAAATTATTCCCATCAGTTGGTTTTTACGGTGATTGCTTGGTTCTGTTACAGATATGAGCATGGAATTGCTTACCTATGGTAAGTCCCACTGCATTCATTCCCATTCAGAACCTCGACAATAAGCCTATGGTTAAATGCATCCATTTTACATTTACTAGTGAACTCCATCACTGGCCAACTGTATCTAAACATCCGAAATTAAATTCGGCCAGTGAAGAAGGTGAGAAATAATGGAGTTTTGGTTTTAGTCCTTTGCATGTCTATCAGGAAGAAGGAAATCAGAGAAAATTACCATTTAGCCCCTAAAATAACGCTCAACTGATGGAGAGATAACAGAAGGACTAATGTTGGAACAAATGTAAAAGTCAAGTGTCTTTTTCGTCCAAATTAAAAGTCAAGGACCAATTTTGAAAAATCGCAATAGTCGGAGGACCATTGCTGGAATTAACTCTAATTTTTTTCTTAAAAAAAAAAACATATTAAAACTTGACATATTGTGAGAGGAAGTGGTAGATGACTAGATGTTAAGACACTAAATATTTTTCAAAATTTAATATTAATTAAAAAAAGAAGTGAACAAGCAAGTGAAACATAAGTCACCTATCAAAAGCTCACGAGTTAATTATTATAAACACATTTTTTATTGAGGTTATATTTATTTTTTTAATATTAATTAAAAAAGAAGTGAACAAGCAAGTGAAACATAAGTCACCTATCAAAAGCTCACGAGTTAATTATTATAAACACATTTTTTATTGAGGTTATATTTATTTTTTTTTAAATTGATTGAGGTTATATAATTTATAAATTATTATACATGAATAGGGCTGTTAACGAACCGAACATAAACGAACGGAGGTTGTTCGTGTTCGTTTGTTAAGGAATTTGGAGTGTTCGTGTTCGTGTTCGTTTGTTAAGGTTTTTGAAAATCCTGTTCGTGTTTGTTTGTTAAGCGTTCGTTAGTGTTCGTTAACGTTCGCGAACACGTTCACGAACGTGTTCGTTAACGTTAACGAACATGTTCGCGAACGTGTTTGTTAACGTTCGTGAACACGTTCGCAAACGTGTTCGTTAACGTTAACAAACACGTTCACAAACATGTTCATTAACAACCACGTTCACGAACATATTCATTTACGTTCATGGACACTTAATAAACAAACACCTTCACATGTTCATGATCACAATTCGTTCGTGAACAATAAATAATTTACGTTCACGAACAATAGTCAAACAAACAACACAACTACAAAACTAATATAATATAATATAATATAGGGATAAGGGTCAAATAGACCCTCCAACTATATAGCAAAGTGCAATTAGCCCCTTCAACTAAAATAACCTTCAATTAAACCCTTCAACTTATTAAAAGTGTGCATTTACCATTTTTAACAAGTTACCAAAAGGTTACCAATTAATTTTGCTTGCTTGGCATCTACATGGCATTTCATTTAAATATATATATTTTTTGAAAGCATTTAAATATTTTAAAAAACTAAAAAACTAAAAAAAAAAAAAAAAAAAAAAAAAAAAGTCACCGGCGACGGATAAACCTCGACGCCGCCGGATAAACCGTTGGATTCATTTCGCTGGCTTCTCTTCTCCGTTAGCTCTCCGTCCAAATATACCCTTCTTCTTCATGTTCTTCCTCGTCGTCTTCTTTCTTCTTGTCACCAAGAATGCAAAGCGTAGGATAAGACTTGCAGTACACTATCATGTAGCTGTTTACCTCCGGCAGCGCTGCTTCGTAGGATAAGACCTTGTCGTCT